CGCGGCCTCCGCGGGCCGGGCGCGGCTCAGGGGCAACGGGGCGAGATGGGACTTGGTGCTGGGGCGAGCCGCTCCAGGCTAAACCGCCTTCAGTCTGGTGCTCAGCTGGAGCGCGTGGCGCAGTCTGCCTGTACCATGAGAGCTGCTCCTAGAAAGGAACTGGGTATTGACCTGCTTTCGTATGTTGTGAACAGCTTCTGCATTTCCTGCAAGAGTTCTCCCAGCAAACCATTTCCAGGACTCATGAAATCAAAAAGCAAGTAGATGGATTGATTAGTGAAACAAAAGCCACAGACTGTCGCCTTCATAACGTCTTCAATGACTTTCTTATGTTATCCAATACACAGTTCATAGAGAACGTGAGTATACTCGTGTGTGGCATCAAGCTCATACTTCAGGCATTGGTGTTGCCCCTTCCTGTGATGTAGAAAAGCGACTTGTCTTTGTATGCTGATGTGTGTGGACTTTGTGGCAAGTCTGATGTTAGTTTAGAGATGAAATGGCTTTTAATTGCTTTCTGTTAAAAGGTCTCCCAATTTCTGCTAGAGTAATGCACTGTTCAAGATGTGCAGATTCCTTTTTGCCTCTTCTGAGGTATCTTCCTTCTAGTTTGTATATGACTTGGAAATCAGGTTTTTTTGCTGTTTTATTTGCTTATTTTTGTTGAGGTCTGTGGGACGCCTTGGTGTGTCTTTGCAAATGGCATAAACGTAGCAGGTGTACCTTAGCTACCTAAATGTAGGGAATGTTATACAATACTGCAGGGTTTGCCCACTTTTTTTTTTCTTTTGCTAAAAGTCTTTGCAAAAGACCATACTCAAGGTGTTGGGTGGCAGGCAGCTGTCTGTTATATCTGGTCACGATGGGCATATCTGTTGGTTACTGCTCCCATGTTGCAAATATTGCTATTTTGGGAAGGCAAAAGCTAGAAGTGAAAGGTCTGTTATGACATTGCATCAATAAGAACGCGTGTATAATGAAAATGTAGAGCTTTATTTGTTTTCCAGATTTTTTTTTTACAGTATTGTGAGTTTTATTAGGTATTTTGATTTGATCAGCATTGTTCTTAGGTAGGTGTATCTCCTATGAAACCATGGTCCTAAAATTGGAAAGATGCTAGCAGAAGACAAGAGAATGGAAGTCTGTGTCTCTAGTATTTTTTTCAGTGCTGCAGCGTCTCTCCTAGCCTGCCTTTGCTGTTCAGCATTGTGATCCTGCTGAGGACAATGGGTACCAAATGTCTTACATTTTGGGCGCTTCACGCTGTTTATTCCCAAATTTAAGCCCATAGAAATGCCCCTGCCCCCCCCATTTCTAATTCTCAATTTGGTTCGATATTAGCAATCTGTCTCTTCCCAGAGGATAACTGCCACCTGTATTTGAAAGACTTGGATTCAAATGTGCAGGTTCGAGGGGAGCTTTTTGTTCCCTTATATTGTAGCTGCTGCTAAGAGAGCTTCAAAGGAGCTGGGGGAGGGATCATCAGAACAAACTGAAGGCTGAGGGAGGCTGTGACCTTTCTCCCTAAGTATAGGAGAAGAGTGAACGCTAAGGAAGAAGAGCTACTGAAAACGCAAGAACCTAAAGGAGCAGACTGGTCATGACTAAGCTTAAGCTTGACTTTGAAAGCTTCAAGAATAGCTTTATGTTAGGGGGTTAAAACAACTTTTTTTTCTTTATTTTTTTAATTATGTTCGGATCAGTCTATGAACAGGATTAAATGGTCAACTTGTCTTCCACTACCATGGTCGGGTCACGCTTGTGGTCTTGTATTACCTCTCTTGGGTTGAGAGAATAGCTGATGGTAACTCCAGAAGGATGAGTTTAATGCATGAAAGAGGCTTTGAAGATGCTTGGCGTGATATATGGTTTTTGATTTTTTTGTTTGGATGGGGTTTTTTGGTTGGTTTTTTTTTTTTGAAATGTGTAATGGATTATTGTGCTACTTACTTGCTTATTAATAGTATAATATTAATAGTGTTTTGTACTTTATGGGTGGTACCCATGGTTTAGCCTCTGTGGCAGTATGTTGTTCTTACTTAAATTAATTTTGCTTATGTTTGTAGAGAGTATATGATGAAGAAGTGGAAGAGCCTATTCCCAAAGCTGATGTTGGAGACAAAGCAGAGCAGGTAGTTAACTTAAGCTGCTGTGAATGCTAGCATTATATTTGCAACTGTTGTCTACCTTCTTATTTTCAAACTTCTTTTGCAGATGCTTACAGCTTATGAACCAAACTGTTTCCTTTCTCCTTGAAATCTTTCTCTTGGACAGTGCATATTATTCAACCATAAAGCTGATGGTAACATTGAAGGCTACTATGCTGTATTATCATCTACTTGGACTCCCCCCACCTGATCTTGTGCCTAGTAGGCAAGACTTATTGCTGTTTAAAAACTGAAGGATCTTTTTAGTAAGAGGATTGAGGCCTCTGACCATCTAACAAATTCAGAGGTAGTGAATAGGAAAAGCAGAATCTGACTGCAATTCCCAGGGATATAAACTTGGAGAGCTTTTTTAAATATCGTACAGTCTAGGTGTTTTATACCATAAAGATTCCCTTGGTAGGCTGGGAGCACAAATAGGACAGTTCTGTGCTGATGCAGATGCTTAGAACATCTCTGTTTCTGGGTTTAATAAAGAAGAATTAAATGAAACAAAAGTTGTGAAGGTATTTTTCTTATGTGTAGTGAAACTGCTGTCATCATACTGATTTGAAGTTAAATTTTTGAATACATGTTGTAGCGGGACTGAGTTTGAGCGAAATGTAATAAGAATGTGTTGTTGCTGTTACTAAAGGAAAAGACCCGGGAGCAGAAAGAAGCTGATCTGATCCCCAAAATCCAAGAAGCAGTGAATTATGGGTTGCAAGTTCTGGACAGTGCATTTGAGCAGCTAGACATCAAAGCAGGCAACTCTGACTCAGAAGAGGAAGAAAGTAATGAAAGGGTGGAACTGATACTTGAGCCAAAGGTACAGAGACCTGTTCTTGTTGGGAGCATTGGGTTTGTGTTGTGCTGGACTTGTCTTCACTGCTGTCAACAGTATCACTGTACTAGTATAAAACTAATACTAGCTACCTCAAAAAAAGGATTTGATGACTGTATGGGAAATAGAAGTACGCCATGTTGAGTGATTTCTCGTGTAGCTTGCTTGCTTTGTGGTTGGATTGGCATTAAGGCACTCCTAAAGCGAGTTAGTTCAGTGGCAGAAAAATTGGAAAGGGAAGCCTGAATTTTGGGTGGAATGGAACCTTGAAGTTTCATGCTTTTTAGGTAGAAACCATATACTCCTAAGTGGTTTTTATTGTCCCAGTAGTTAAGAACACTAGGTGCGCAATTTAGGAGAAGTCTGATGCCTGCCAATCTGTGCGAGGATATTCAGCTGTCTTATGGCACATAAGAAACATGTTGGAACCACACAAATAGAAATAGCCTGATCTTTGACAATACTAAGAAGGAATAAATCTCAGCTGGCCTACTCAGTTGCACCCTGGCTTGCATGTGTCTGGTGGGTCTCTCCTGAATCGGGCTCATATCTTCCTTACGTTGAAATAAGGGTTGCAAGACTGAATTGGCAATGTAAAGGTCTTTTTGACATCTAGAAAGAGCTCATGTTGTCTCTTTCCAGGATCTCTATATTGACAGGCCTTTACCTTACTTAATTGGCTCTCAGCAGTTCATGGAACAAGATGATGTTGGTTTGGGAGATCTCTCTAGCGAAGGTGTGTGTGGCATTACCTTTTATTTCTATGGGAGTAACTTGTTCCAAATCTGAGACTTTGGTCTGTTGTAACTGAATAGCTTGGGCTATACTGCATAGTGTTCTTGCATATTTAAATGCATACTGTAATTAACCAGGGGAAAATGTGCACCATGCTGTAGCAGCCTCTCCCACCTGATGCATGTAGCATGTTGTCAGTAACGAGTGCTCTGTGTTCGAAAAACAAAGCACTGAAATTTCATCAGCCTCCAAACTTCTTTCAAACCAATCTGTTCTCCACCTTATTTGTAGTTCTCTTCACAAAGCCTCTGAAGTCACAGTAGGTATGTTTGGTGACCAGAGAGCTTCATATGCAAATGTGATGTTTGACATCTTAACTTTTAACTTAAACTTCTGTTCTGTTAACTCTTCTGTTTTTCTTTTAAACAGAAGGGTCAGTAGATAGTGATCGTGGAAGTGTAATTGACAGTGAAGAGAAGGATGAAGAGGTAAGTGATGGAGAACTGCTCTGGAGAAATGCTACTTTTCATAAGCATTTGTGAGTTTTTGGTTATGTGAAGCCATTAGCTACTTTGCTTTTTCAATATTTTCTTGGGACTCTACCGGAACAGTGTCTATTCCCTATATATTTCCCATAACTATTCTTATGAAGAATAATTTTTTTTTTTCTGTAGCCTTTCAGAGGAGCAGTAAAGGTATTGTCTCTAACTGCTGTCTATACCAAAGAATCTTACTGAAATTTTTTATTCCAGTCTAACTTGTTTTAGTGAAGCAAATCAGTTGCTTATCAGGAATTGCAGCTATGGAAAAAAATATCTCTTGTAAATTATGGTGACAAAGAACGGGATGGAAAATAGTGAGAACAAGTTTAAAGGTTTAACAGGTGTCGGTGATACGCCTCCAGGCATTGCCTCACAAAATCTGCTACATTGGACTGTGTTTTGCCTGTTTTGACTGTAATGTCTCTGCTTTTTAACTGATACTACGGGAGCACTCCCCTTTTCCTGAGGAATTTGTTCTTGGTATCTTTTCTCAATTAAAATTAAATCACTTTTGAGTTACTCAAATGCCATTTCAGACAGAGCTCTTGCTTTTTGCTGACTCAATGATGTTTTAGCCAGCTCTGTTCATAGAAGATGGTCGTGATAGGGAAAACAATTGCTTGATTAGGCTGCAACAAAGTGACCTGAATGTCCAAACCTAAGCTAGTTGAGAGCTTGCAAGCCCTCTTCCTTAGCCACTGGACATGGCAATGTGTGATATTTGTCATTGGATCTGTTATGTTCCAGGAATCGGATGATGAATTTGGAAATCCTAGTGAAGATGACCACAAGACGGTACGGTCATATACCCTGGCGCAACCTGAAAGATTTTTTTTTTACTTGTGACACAGTGAGGACACAGGAAAGAGGAGATAAGAATTTTAGACAACTATCTATTAAAAGACCAGGTTAAACCTGATTTGTATAACTTCGGCTAGGTTGTCCTCACCAGATTGCACTGCATTATCAGACTGAACCTGGGCTGGGCGTAAAGAGACGTTTGCAAGCCAGGTGGGATGACATTGCCTGATGTCCTGTTTCCTCATAAATAACTTTGGAGCCATCAGAGGTCAAAGAACCTACCCCAAGGCAACTAGGCTCCTGTGGTATTATTGTATCTATAATTAAAATTCTAGACTTTCGGGGCAGGAAGTAAGGAACAGTGAGCATGTATTTTCTCTCATTCTGCTATCCACATTAAGGCTAGCTCAAGACTATATCGTTTTTCTTTGGGTTCTTTTTGTTTGTTTTTGTACCAGCTGAGCTCAGCATTCCTGAGTTAAGGCTAACTACTAGGCCTTTAGAGGAGAGCCCTTAGTTAGCTAAGGGAAGCTGTGCTGCCAAAGCCCTTCCAGCTTGTATATGCTGGCAGTGCACTGCTGGTGAGGAGTTCCTTAGTGCCCTAGGTTGTGTCCCTGATCCAGAAGTGTTCAGTGGCACAGCACGGGGATATGCTGGAGCATAGAGCAAGTTGCTTGGAGCTAGAGGCACTCTCTCCTTACCTCAAAGGTTGTGAAGTACCCCAAATTGGCTGAATGTTCCCCTCCTCTCAATAAGTTTGCTCTGAATATCTTATCCAAGCAGATGGAGTTTTGTGCTTGTGTCTTTGTATGCCAACTTCAGGAGAACACAATCGGGTATAATTATTTCTTAGAGGCCAGCACTGATAAGTGATGAAGATGATGATGATGGCTGTGATCTCTTTGATTCTGAAAAAGAGGAAGATGAGGATGGAGACTTAGATGAAACCACAAGGCCTGTAAGTATTTGTTGCTGCCCTGAGAGGGGAGATTTAACTTCCCTCATGAAAGATATCTGACTTTAGTGTGATTATAATGATAGCTCTGAGTGACCTGGGATGGGATCTTTTAGAGAAGGCCTGTAAGGATCTTGTATGGTATGACTGTTCAGTCATTGTGCCTCTAAACTAGAGGACTCCTGCACCCCAAGCTTGCATCAAAGCTGTCTTTAAAGGTCACTAAAAATTACCTGTTGCATTTGCCTATGGTAAATACTTCCAGCTTGCCTAGCTCCTGAAATGGGAAGATGCTTGAGCGTTATGGGATCATAAGCGATTAAAAATGGCTTGTTTTTCTTGATGCATGCGTAATCTCTTAATTATCTTCTTAATGCAAAGCTGTGTTGCCTCTTCTGAGGGCTTCGTTCAAAGTCTAGGCAGGAAATTGCACAGATGAGGCAGTAGAATATAGTATTTGTAATTGCAACTGTGCAATGGGAAGGGAAGTACTTGATGAGCATGTTAAGACAGACCCTTTATCTTGTCCAAAAAAAAAGTGCTGTGGCATGAAGTCCCTTTCTTTATATCTGGTCTGAACCAGCACTCCTATGTGCAGTAATCAGCCTGAAGGGATAAGCTGGAAGTGTGGAGGGGTAATGATTTTTTTTCTGGGAACTCTACCTCTATTCCTGGGAATCTATCAGATTTGTTGGTTTAGATGACTAAGTGTTTGGAGCTTAAGAATCTTCATTTCATCTGTACACCATTTTATTCCTCACCAAGTTGTTAACAGGTTGGCATATAAGAAATATGGTGGTCTTTGTTTCCCCTCTCCACCCTAGGAAAAGAAAAGGCCAACATCCTTTGCAGATGAACTGGCAGCCCGAATCA